GATAACCAAATCTGCAATTTTCCCTTTCCATCTTATTTTTCCCTCTGAGTGTATACATCGAAAAACACTCCAGAAGGTTTGGGGAGGAAAATTAGGAAACTACATTCATATTACACGATAAACACGTAAGAATCCTATAGAAACTTTGAGTTGGGTATGTTTTGTTTTTGGCCCTAATGGTAATACATATCTGACTGACTTTGTGCCTATAATTCTTACTTTAGATGTCTGGCTGGTTTAAGAAAAACATCACAAATAAGGACATATATAATAGTGTTCAGAGAGCATATTCACGCTCTATCAACAATAAATAATACAGAAAAAAACAATAATACTAAAAGTAAATGTGTTTAAGCTGAAACAAACAAAAAGAAACTAAACTGATAAAAGCAACTTCTCACATACACACAGGCTTCTATACAATAAAAAAAAAATCATTCACTCAAGATCTCCGAGCCCATTCCTTCATTCGAGGAAGGAAAGGTAGAACTCTAGGAGATCCCAGCGCCTCTAAATCAGATGCATTACTGGTGTTAAGGACCAGTAGAGGCTGATCAGAGGCGCTATAATCACACATACATGGATTGAGTGGAGAATCTGGCCATTGCCAAAACTCCAATGTATACTTATTCACAAAAGTATACATTGTGCGGCCTCTGGGCCACTGCAGCTTCAACCTTCAAGGAGGATTCTAGGGTTGGGTGATGCTGGATAGGGATTGTACAAGAGGATTAGGATGATAGGTAAGGTTCTGGAGAAATGTGGAGAATTTTTGTGGGATAAGGTCTAAGAAAAATGGGATATTAAGGTCATGTTGTAGGGTTTTGCTAACTTGAAATTAACGCAGAAAATGTTGAGCAAATACAGTTATTTTTCGATTGCTAACAAAAATCTAATTTAATGTTTTTTTGGACACATTTGCAAAATACCTCGAATATAAATCTAATATTTTTGACTTATTAAAAAGTATCATTGAAATCGGTGTTCACATGTCCTTTACATTACCTTGTTAGTGAATTTTAGCAACGATTGTCTCGAATTAATCGTTCGATAAATATCTTCTTAAACTTTATTTATTTTTAAATCTCATTATTGAATATTAAATACATCTCAGGTTATTACAATATCCTTTTTTTTATCCTTGTTTTACTTTTCTCCTAATTCATGAATAAGTCAATATCGAATAATAAAAGTTTATCTATCACTGAAAAATGTTTAAAACTCACAAACTACTGAAATTTAAAAGAACAGGATATCTGCTTATTAACAAGTGTTTGTAATCAATTGAACTGATAAGAACACAAGCGTTACTCTAGTGAGTATTACGGGGTTTTGCATTACAGAGAAATTCGTTTTTAGTTTTTTAACCTGGTTATAAATCAAACAGATTATAAATCAAATTATTTTAGCCGTTGATAGAAGGCATCTCAGAGAAAACTTTTTTAATACTTTAGAACTCCAAAGCAAAAAATAAATAGTAAGAAAAAATGGAGCAATTGAATATTAAATATAGAAATAAGTGTAAAAAGGAATGAGTATTTTTAAGAATGACTAATCGTAAAGAAAGTCAGGCTTATCTTTTTAATACATATTTTGAGTCTTATCGATTAGTTTGAGCCGTATCGATTAGTTTGCGTTGTAGTGCGTAGTTCGCAGTTCACAATATAAACTGATAAAATATTCTAACCACGAGGTAAGCAGGAAATGTTATATAAAATTTCTTGGTTAAAATATTAAGTAACCTATGTATAAAAACCTGTCTTATGAAACCTTGTGAGAAAAGCCTTGGACCTTGATCTGAAATATCGACAAAAATAAATGTAAATATAATTTATTTATTTTTATTTTGTTAGAATGAACATCCAAACCAAATGCTCTTCAAAATATTAAGTAATAACAATGACGTCGCTAAAACAATTATTTTGCAGTGGAGAGACAAAATATAGAATCACAAAAGTTGGATCAAAATTTTCCAACTATTTCAGTAATTGAAACGATTTATTTTGGTGACAATTTTAATGGAAAATACAGAATTTGATCAAAATTTCAATAGTGTGAACTAAGTTTCACAACAATTTTAATTGTTTTAAAAAAATTATGTAAAGAAATATCGTACTATTCCCATCTCTTTTGTTTTGAATTTCTAACTTACTTGTTGATACTTTACGATTTTTTTTTTTCATTTAAACAAATTGTACCGTAGAAATTCTAATTTCTTAAATTAAAATGTATTAGTATTGGTTTTTAAATATTAGTTACTGTTTGAGTAAAATGTTTTACCGGAATTGTCTCAGTTTGAGGTAGGTTATCAAATTTCTAACTATTTTCTTTTTTTTTGGAGGGGGGGATGTAAATCTCACTATCCGACCCACCATAACTAGACTCTTGATCTTTTTAATGAATTTTGAAAGATAATTTTATAACGAAACGATAAGTATTATATAAAAAATGAAGGTAAACAAATTCTAACTCAATCAAACCTAACTCGCTATTATTTTCAAATAGGTACTTATTTTTATTGAAGGGAAGAATGGTTGTGGTGATCTGTAAAAAAAAAAAATAAAAATAGTAAAATCAAATAAGTATAATTATTATTTTTATTTTTGCCGTAGTTTTTGCTCGAAGTTCAGGCCTTCATCAGGGTTAAGAAAAAACAGATAATAATAGGTATGAGATAATATAAACATTGAATAATAAAAAATTTAAAAAAAAGTGAAAGGTACTGAACTTTGTGCAGAAACGTCGGCAAAAATTAAAATAAATATACTTACTTATTTTTAATATTTTCCTCTTCAATTGTTCACTTCAGCCAACCATCAATCCACAACGTATTTTTATCACCGGTTTTTGTGAACAAATTTGATTTTGATTGGAAATACTCATATGATTAAAAATCCAAATATGACTTGTTTTGCTGGTTCTAGAATATATTTAATAATGAAATAGGAATTCCCTTTTCAATAAAATTATCTTGAAAGGCTGTAATTTATTTTCATGAAAGTTACATATGACTCTAAATCAAATTTCTGCAATTTTCCAGAAAATATTATTTCAGAATATGCCTTTTTAAATCACTATTAGCCCAGTACTCTTGTACATCGTAAGTTACATTGAATGGAGGTAGAAGCTATCCTTTTTATTTTCTTGTTTGGGATATGACTGAGATGCAAAATCCAAATTTTCGACCTCGGTGCCCCCCCTTCCACTCCCGGATCACTTTTGAATATCCCCAAAACTGCTATATTTTTGCACTTTTCGATTTTTTTTTTTTCATTTTATCCTTAAAGGAGCACGTTTTCTACAAAAAACATTCTATAAATTTTTAAACTAGATTAATTTGACATCAGAACAGGCTCAGTAAATCAAATAGTTTACGAGAAACAGGTTTTTAAATTTTGGGAAATTTAAATTATTTTTTATGTTTAATCATATGCCATTGTCTTTTAACTTCAATAACCTGTCTGATATGAGCCAGTGAAGTAAATATTTATTCATTTTAATATGTTGAAGGAGGGGTGATTGGGGGAGGGAGTTTGGAGGGAGGTAGTCTGTGGGTTAGCCCCCTCTCCCCTCCCCCCCCGTGGACCCCTCCACATCCCTATAAACTGCATATCGTTGTGTTCCTTGTAACTATACCTTAAAAAAAAAAAAACAATGTTCCCACAAAAAAAGTGGCCGCACAGTCCCCAAATGACGTCCAAATATTGACGGCTTTGACTTCAGTTAGTTTTTCGGTCACTAAGATTCAGCAGTTTGCTTAGTTTCGTCATAATTGATCTTTTATTAGAGCTGAATAGTTAGAAAATAATAATAAATCAAAATCATAATCAAATAATTTGCCTTGGCAATACAAAATATCATTAAAGTCAATTTTTAAAAGCCGTTCAAACTAACGTTGAAAATCATGCCTCATTTGTAATTAAACGGCCAACAATAACGAAAAACCCATTGAAATAAAACATCTAGGAAATATATTTATCTTTCTAATTCACTGATTAATTTTTAACATTTTTGAAACGGTTCTTTAGAAAATGCACTTAATCAGCGGAAAAGCGACACAGCATAGTTCTTTGTTACCTTATTCGGTTCTCATAAATAGTGCTACTCTCTTCATATCTCTATTACATATTTATTTCACCAAATAATGTTTCCATCAATCCCTCGTTATATTCAAAGATTTTGAATCTTCTCAACAATGATCGCAGAATTTCTTTTTTCTTGTACGCTTTTTTATATATTTATATCTTTTTCTATGGTTTGTTCTAATATCTAACATTGCTCTCTTAAATCAAACAACTTAGCTGAGGAGAGTTTTGAAAGGTGCGGTAAGTTCTTTTTTTTCTGCTTGCTGGTTTCCTAATTAGAAGATCGAACGCAATAAATGACCTAAGTCATTCTAGCTCAATTAGCTTATAATATTAGATTCACATAAATCAACATAGGGTTTATATCTCTTATTATTTATATTCATACCTATATACGTGTATCCTTTAAAATAATAAATGTTTTGAGTGATAAATACGCCATTATAAAGGGGGGGAGGCAGTCATTATAAAGTTTTTATTGGTGCTTATATTTCAAGCAGAACATGTGGGTCACCAGGGCGTGTTTCGAGCACTGAAGATATTCAAAGTAGGTTATAGAAGACATAAACATGAAAATTAGATTAACTTTTTTATGTTTCGAAATATGAACGATAGTTTCCAAAACTTTGAAAAACTATTGAACTTATCGAACCTGTTTTGGTCTTAAATTGTAGAATATTTAATTTAATTTAAAAATGTATAGAAAGCTTTTTGTCGAAAACATGCTCCTTCAATGCCAAAATGGAGAAATAAACGAAAAAATTTTGGGATTTTCAAAAATGATCTGGGGGGCGGGAGGTTCAGTCACGTCGCATACAAGTAATAAAAAATAAACCTTCTACCCCCATTCGATGCAACTTCAACTCCCCTTTTCATGACTTTCCTCCTAAACTTACTGAAGATTACTCCTCTTACCCATCCCCTGGAGATACACCATCCCGAAGAACATGCAGAAGGCGTGGACGTTGAGCGACCTGCTCCAGTCGATGCTTCCACAGTTGGAGAGGACGGCAATGATGATGAAGAACGCTGTGAGGCCACAACATTGTGCGAACCCGAAAATGACATACTTAGCGATCGCGGTGCCTTCCATTTTCAACACTACACTAGCACCTCCGCTCCAACCACTTCACACATTATCTGATTATTTCGCCTATCAACAAAATTCTCAAGTATACATGGTGACTAAATCACAATTCGTCACCATCTTTTAAATTTTTAGTTTTCTTTACTGCTATTACGAAAATTAACAAATCTATAAACCGGCTTGAACTTTAATCAGCCAGAGAGATACGAAAAACAAATAGCAAGTAGATGTGATAGACAAAACATATATTAATCTACATTCCTTTGGAGTGAGTTATGACGATTTATTGAAAAATTTAACGTGTGGTTCTTATCACAGGCGGATCTACGGGGGAGGGAGGGCTTTCGAGCTGAAGCCCCCTCCCCCTTCCCAAAATGGTAAAATATTACAATGTTTTACAGAAAAAAATATTAAAAACTATCTCTTAAAGTATTCTTGTTCGTATAATTACATTTAATAGGACTTCAAGAACCACCTAAACACCATTTCATATAGGTAGTTAATTTCTTTCTTTTTTTTTCTAATTAGTTGTGGTTATATGTATATGAAAAAAAATCTTTCAGGCTGAAGCCCCTCCCAAACTTAAATCCTGGATCCGCTAGTGGTTCTTATCTAATGTTACTGTTCCCCCCGTTTCTAGAGCTACGTAATTTTTACTTTAACTTACGTCTATATTATATAGTGAGGAAAAGTATTACGATCGTAAAAAATTCAAATCTGAATTTTCAACAGAAATATATATGCTTTAAGGTTCCCAGAGTCTCGCAAAATGACCTGTGTATATGTCATCTGCATAGCTCAAAAACGAAAAATCGTATGAATGCCAAATTATGTAGTTTAGGTCTGTATGGTATGATTCAGTAACATCGAACATCTTTTATTTTTTAGAGTTATTTTCCAGCTTTCCCCGACCTGAAGGCGCACCCGCAACTTGTGAATAATTCGTACGAAAATAATGATGACTGTTAATAAACCAGCTGCATATAAAATACAATTAAAATATATATATTTAAAGTTATGTACAAGGGATCATAGATTATCCGGTGTAATGACGGGGAGGAAGAAGCACGAAAAGTCAAATTTGCTTATATATTTAGTAATGTAAACAATTACTTAACAGGTTATATGGATACTGATAATGTACAACATAATAAATTTATATGTTGCATTAAAAACAATAAGTAGGTGCATATACACTGCTCAAAAATTAATAGGGATATTGTTTGCTAGATATGATTTATTTTCACTAGAATTTTTATTAAATCTATTGAAAATTAATAAAAATAAAATTGTATTTAACCTCGAGAAATTATATAAAAGGCGTCTTAAAAAAATAATAAAATTAAAATTTTTGTGATCTTGTTTTTATGATTGCGAATCGTAAGAATTTTGTAAAATTTAATAAGTTTTATATTATCCTCTGTTGCACACTAATTCTCTGCACCTATTGGCCATACTGTTTATAATGTCCATAGCCAGAGACTTCGGGGGACGATCGCCCCTCGATAAAAATGTTAAGGGGGCAAGAGTATTATTTTACACCTCACCCAATAATTTGAAGTAAAAAAAAATTAAAATCAATTATAAATAATCTATTTGAATAAATACAATTTATAAACTAAAATCGATGAAGAAAAGTCGACTAGCTGGCTAGGCTAGAGTCTCTAGTTATTTAAAATGAAATTTATATTCAAAGATAATAATATATATCAACATATCCTAGAATTTTATGATGCATAGATATTTGGAGTTTATAATAGATATTAAAACAAAATATAAGTGTATTTAAAACATTGATACATACACGTTATTACGAATATTCAGATGACATAATCTTATTTTGCATAAGATCTCAAATCTTATCAAAATAACCCGATATTTTAGTTGGTGTAGTCATTTTATTGTTTCACAAAATCCAAACTCTATGGCGATTTAATTAAAACCTTTAATATTATCTCCAACATTATATGTATAAAGTTTAGATAAAATATTAAGTTTTCGTCACCATTGGTTGGAAATGTTGAATTACACTGAAGTAAGATGTTAAGACGTAAAATATTTAAAGTTTTGAATGTCTTTTTATTTTTTTTTATTTAGCATATATTACAGAACATTTAGGTGAAAACTACTTTGCTACGATCATTGGTTCATAAGATATTAATTTTCGAAGTCACCCTATCTGGTTTACTGATAAGAATGACATGGTTAACGGGTGAGGTAGCTATGACGTATGCCATATAATTAAATTTTTAGTAGCAAATATGTCATTGATTCATGATTTTCTCAAGTTCTTGCATGACTCATTTTTATATCACTTATTTTTAGTCCTATGGAATTTGCTGATATACTCTAAATTACAAACCTTGGAAAAGCTAAGGATATTAAAATTTATTATTTCATTTATCTAATCGGGGAATCTGTTGCCCCCTTACATAGGGCCATATTTTATAATATATATCTGTCCAACCCACCCCACTTACCAAAGTTAACTGCGGCCCGGACTATATTCATTCCGAAAACGGATGATCCCGCTGGTCCTTGTGAATATAGACCCATCACAGTTGCTTCAGTCCCTCTTAGACAAATGCACAAGATAATTGCAACTCGTCTAAACGAAATGGATTTGCATCATGTAAACCAGCGAGCGTTTATTGCTTCCGATGGCACTGCAGAAAATATATTCTCATTACAGTCAATAATAGACGACTCTAAAATGAGAAAGAAGGAAATCCATGTAACGTTTATGGATATTGCCAAAGCTTTTGATAATCTGAGCCATAATGCACTTTATAGAATCTTAGAATGGAAGGGTATGCCAGCTGGACTTATTGGTTACATGAAGGGGCTATATAGCAAATGTTATACCCGCATTACAGACAAAAAGCAGCATGCGGATCCTATTGTATGCGGAAGAGGTATAAGGCAGGGTGACCCATTATCCCCTAGTCTCTTTAACATGGCAATGGATTGGGTAATCCATTCCCTTCCAGATGGAATAGGCTACGATATGGGAGGAACAATGGTAAACTGCCTGGCATTTGCAGACGACCTAGTCTTAATCACATCCTCATCGAAAGGCATGAAAAGATTACTATCGGACGCAGCTGCAGCTATTCAAGATCTGGGAATGGAATCCAACCCAGCCAAATGCTTTAGCTTTTCTCTCGTCAAGGCCGTCAATTCTAATGTTATGAAGGTTGATAACAGATATCATTTCGTAGTAAATGGCGCTAGAATCAAGCAGTTGGGTATCTTGGATTGCTGGAAATACCTAGGAGCGAAATTTTCGTTGAACAACATGAATGCCGAAGAGATTATCGATGAATTATCATTATCGCTGCACAAAACAAACACTGCACCCCTAAAACCCCAACAAAAATTAGTGACTTTGAGAACTTATCTCATCCCGAAATTCATTCATCTCCTCACACTGAGCCCAAGCAAAATGAACGAGTTGAGAAAGTTGGATATCTCAACGAGAGCGGCAGTACGTTCCTGGCTGCGACTGCCTCAGGATACCCCTACTCAGTATTTCCATTCTGCTTGTACTGATGGTGGTTTGGGAGTAATGAGCTTTAGCAGTGCTATACCCTCACTCAAGCTCGCGAGGTTACGACGTATGGAGTACTCTGGTTGGCCAGTAGCAAGAGCCGCCTATCATTCCTCCTTTATCACTAAGGAAATGAGAAAACTCACAAGCAACCTCACGAAAATGGGCCTCAAAGCGGAAAACACTTCCAGTGAAGAACGAAAGAAAACGCTGTCCAGGAAGTTATATCGTAGCGTTGATGGTAAGGCATTAAGGGAGTCAAAAAACTGCCACCCATCAACTCATTGGTTGACAGACTACGCGGCTCCGATAACCGGACGGACCTTCATACAGACGGTAAGAACTCATATTAATGCCCTCGCGACCCGAGTGAGATTATCCAGAGGACGTAGGGCTTTTATGCCGACCCAATGCAGAGCTGGGTGTCCTGCAAGCGAAACTGCCAGCCATATTATTCAACATTGCATTTTGTCTCACGGTGGTAGAGTGCGCCGGCATGATACAATAGTGAACATGTTGGAAATTGCTCTCCAAAAAAAAGGATACAGGGTCACAAAGGAGCAAATGTTTGTTGGTAATAGACGAAGGTGGAAGCCAGACCTGGTGTGCTCAGGACTAAGCGGACACTTCATTATAGATGCACAGGTCGTCGGGGATAACCCTAGCACCACTCACTGGAACAATGTCAAAGCCAATAAATATAGGGACCTAGATTGCAGGATGGCGATCGGGCGTACACTGGGAGTGCCAGGCGTAGACATAAAAGTACTGCCGCTCACAATAACTTGGAGAGGAATATGGTGCCGAAGATCTTTCCAAGACATGGATATGTTGGGAATTCCAAAGAGAACGATGAACGCTATTACAATAAGAGTCCTTAAAGGGTCCCACATGAATTACAGTAATTGGTTCAGGCTGCTTCCTCGTTTATAGCATGATACTCAATGATTATATCGATGTCATAATTTACATTTTTACGTTTTGTTTTATTTATCTTTATTTTTTATTTTATTTATCTATTTATTTATTTCATTTTTATTCGTTTAATTTTATGTTTATTTATTTACTTTTTTTTTTTTATTATTTTTTTTTCTTATTTTATTTATTTATTTTATTTTAGTTATTTATTTTAATTTATTTTTTTTTTTATTTATTTTTTTTTTTATTTATTTATTTAGATATGTACTATAGTACTACTTTTTTATGACTTATATTGCGGAGGGATTGCTACCTCCGTGGTTTTTAAAATTACTTTATATATAGTGTGTATTTTATGTATGTATATGAATGTATGTATATTTTTCTTTTATACTTTTATCGACGCAGCTGCTTTTTGTATGTAAATGCAATGCTCAGTATATTATAACTTAATATTAGTATGTTTTCTTTCTTTTTTTTTTTATATATATATGATTCTTGGATTCCAATATCCAAGATAAAACGTTACGATGGTGAA